CTATCTATCTATCTATCTATCTATCTATCTATCATCTATCTATCGCTGTGTGTCTGTATGTTCCAGCATAACTCTGGAACCCCTTGAGCAATTTCAACCACACTTGGTACACAGAAGACTTACTCTCTGGAGAAAAATACTGTGGGGATAAGACACCCCTAGGGGTGTGTGTTCTGTTAAGATACAGCCTGTTGTGCCGTACTTCCGTATTGGCTTCTACTGTATAGCGCAGTGGAGTTGCCATGGTAAGGGCTTCACAGTACTCCACAAGGGGGCTCCCTCTGGTAAGGGGGAAAATCCAGCATTAGAAATTACATTTGGTCCAGACATTTCCCCCCTATAAATAAATACCCGGGCAATGCCGGGTTATCGTCTAGTATGGTAATAGGTATGTGCAAAACCTACCATTGTAAAAATAGAATCTTTCATCTCCAGAATAATTTGTATACACAACTAGCAATAAGTGTTTTAGTTAAGTAATGAATATCTCACTTGGTGACATTTCCCACACTGTTGTATTTTAACATTGAGTTTTGTCTCCTCTCCCAAACCGAAGTTTAGATTAACACAATACACTGAACATTAACCCTACAATAGCAAAACACAATTCCTGTTCAACTAACGGATTGTAACCGAACAAGTATAGGTAGTCCTTGACTTACAACCATTTGAAGTTATAACTACTGAAAAAAAGTGACTTATGACCATTTTCCACACTTAGGACAGTTGGATCATCCCCATGTCATGTGATCAAAACCCAGACATTTAGCAACTAGCATGTATTTACAACAGTTGCAACGTCCCGGGGTCATGTATGTGATCACTTTGTGCAACCTTCTGACAAGCAAAATCAACGGGGAAGCCAGCCCCTAACTCCACAACCTGCAGTGATTCACTTAACAACTATGGCAAGAAAAGTTGTAATATGGGATACTACTTTTCAACAGAAATTCTAGGTTCAATTGTGGTCGTGAGTCAAAGATTACCTGTAAACCATATTAAAACTTTATAATATAATGCTCTGGCAATCTATATCAAAGAAGAATTGATGCCTTTGAATTGTGGTGCTGGCATACATTATTGGGTACACCATGGAGAGACAGTGTAACTAACAGAGAGGTTTTAAATCGTATAAAACCAGATACATCACTAGAAGCTAAAATTACAAGATTACATTTGATTTACTTTGGCCATGTCATGTGAGTAAATTCATTGGAGAAGGCAATGATGCTAGGAATGCTTTTTGGAACAAGAAGAAGAGGCAAGCAAAGAACATGCTTGCTTGATAACATCAAATTTGATACAAAGTTGAATATCCAACAACTGGAAAAAAAAAACCCTGCTCTTGACAGGGTAGCATAGACAGCACTTACCTACAAAGTGTCAAAAGTCAGACACAACTTAATGTTTAAAAAACAACAATGGTCTGCCTACTCCAAGTATGAGTTTCTACAACTTGTTGAATCTCGAGCTATCCAATCTCATTTCTGCCAAGGCCGTTGTGTGAATTTGGCCAGAAGGGAATTACATGAATTGTCTGTGTTAAACATAGGCACTTTCAGAATCCTATTATTCTGTGTAAATGTTATTCAGGCAAAACTACTTACATTTCCAATAGCTAATAGTGCTTTGTCGAAAAATAGGATCATTCCAAAGAAAAGAAAAAATACTCCAAAACCTGTAAGACCCATCCCAATTTCTGCAAGACAAAAAAGAAGAGGAATATTAATTACTCAGTGTTAGCAAGAAAACAAAATAATCATTGAAACTTTATACAGAGTTATAACATTAGCCAAGGTCATTTTAAAATTGGCTCCAACTTATTGGTGTTTTTTTTTAAAAAAAAACCTGACATTTGCCCTCTTTTGAGATAGAAACATGCTATTTTGAAGGGACTTCTATAAGAATATTTTTGTTTTGATTACTGACACTTTTGTCTCTAAAAATAGCCAATATTTGATACAAAACTGATTTATAGATTCAGCTATCACGGGGGTGTTAAACTTGCATCATCACATGACATATAGGACTTTCCCCCCTTTGCTAAACTAGGCATGGACATGGCCAGCACATGACGCATCTGGCCCACCGGCTGCGAGTTTGACAGGCCTGAGCTATCACATTTGCAGCCACAACTGCCCTTTTCCCGTTTTTGTCTCCCACAGTAGGCTTATCTACTAGGTTTCTAAAACATTCGTTAATTGTCTAATGTAAAGAAACTCTCCCAACACTCCGTGGTGCTGAGATCCAGAATACCCATTCAAAGCAGAATTCACGAGGAAGTATTAAATTCAATTAACACATTCTCTCTCAAATTACTTATTGCATTTATAAACAATGCCATCCCTGCCAATTCACTTCTCCAGTAATCTTAGCAGACGTCTTTTCTGTGCATGCACAGACAACTGGAAATATTTTGTAGTCAGCTGTCACTGTTCAAAGCAGCCATTAAGCCCTACAAAGACACGGGTGCTTTAAAAAAAGTGAACTCTGTTTTATATAAATGCATCTTTAAGAATATTCCTTTCAAATATTTTGCAAATGTCAAACATAAATGTTGGCCATAGGATCCATAACTGCACATTACGAAGATGCAATCATTTTCCCACTCAGTTTAGAGACTTTTTAAAATAACCCACTTATATTTCTTCCATGAAGACTATTTAAAAAAAAGGATAGACCCATGATTAACTAAATGCAAAAAGATTAGATTCAGTTTACCAAGTAAACTGAAACATCAGTTTACTCTAACCTTAAATCTTTGCTTTAATAATGTATTTTGATTTTAACACAGATCTGGTCCACCTATTCTAGCATTGCAATTCATTATCTAAAGACCTTACAATGAAAATAACCATAATATATTACTTTATTGATGTATTAGTAGTACAAAGTAAGATAAACTCTTGAAACATTTTAAAATCTGTAGCTCAAGGAAGCAGTAAAGAAAACCCAATCAAGGAACTACCAACTTAGACAAACTAACTGTAAACAATAAAAATTAAGGAACCACCAAAAACACTCCCACCAACACTGACAAAACAAATCACTAGTACAGAGAGAAAACCCTACTCCCTTCTAGCATTGATCATGTTACCTAGTTGGGTAATGAGACGTCTGCGAGAAAATAATGAGATTTAGAGAGCACCAAGAACCCACAGTATTTATAAATTATTTTAATTTTTCAGACAGCAGTCTTAAGCAGAGTAAACTGTTATAATGAGCATTGATTTTATTTTTAAGAATTAATATGATTACTAGGAAATGTTTAATAGGCAGGTACATAGAGGCAATTGAGTAAGCAAAGAGCTGGAAGAGGAACAAAGCAATCTACCTTTCTTTTGCAATCAGCATAGAAACTGAACAGGCTGCTAAGGAAAGGAAGCTTTATTTCAGTATTTAGTAAAGAAATGCAGCTGAACTCATTTTCTCGCCTTTGTGAACTTCAAACTTGATTTTGAAGTTTGGGAACTGTTAATTTTTGAAAGAATATACAAGTTATTGTTTCATTAAAATTCTTTTTTCCCCCAATTTTGTTGTATTTAAGTACAATGACAATAATTATACTTATATTTGTACTTATACTTTTAAGCTACATATATCCAAATACACTTTGGACAACAGAAACTAAACAGAAACTGGACTGTTTCATGACTCTGGAATATTTCTGCAAATCAACAGAGAAATAAAACATATTTATGCTTTAAGTAGTGACTTAGATTTTTTGACATATTTAAATTGAGGAGATAAAGAGGTTTCAGATTTCTGACATTAACCCAATAATAAGAGAGAGAAGGGAGTGAATAGCAAAATTGCTTTCAGTACCTAAAATTAACTGCTCCATGGGGACAGTACAGGAGGATGGAGCTCCAAAGAAGGCCAATTACTATGGGGCAAGACATTACAACATAGATAATGATGCCTTCAATATAGATTAAAATAAACAGCTTAAAAGTTCCAAGCATGTAACAGATTTCTGTATAACTTTCTAAAAGTTTTGCTTTAAAAGTTGTAATACATCTGGCACTAAATTGATTCTCATAATTATGAATTTGCTTCTTTATGTTCCATGATGTTGCATAATATTCACATTACTTGTGTAAACATGTTAAATGTTTTCTTGTGCAACTTTTATGAGTAACAATGAAATCATTTTATTTTAGACAACTTAACCAAAGCAGCACTAATTTATCCAACTGAGGTATGGGTTATTACACACTACACGGAAAAGGCTGCTTCTATATAAGACTGCTTATCATAAAAGTATCAATTCTGTGAGCACTTACTCAAATATAGCCAACAGAATTCAACACATGCCAGTGTAAGCATTCCTGAAGTGCTCACAAAAAGAACAGGTGTTAGATAAACCATTTTATTGCTGCTTCTCACAAGTTATTTACGGAATCTAGTCTTAGAAGTAGCATGACAATTAGCCATTGATCACTCAGTCTGCCACATATTGGTCCAACTATCTTTTATGTTTAGACTTTATATAATTTGTGGAAGCGGGAACTTTTTCTTCCATTATTAAAATCTCCATAACACCAAATACTTACATGTGCAATAAATGATAGCCTGTGCCTTAATGCAGCTCTGTATTTAAATATTTCACTTAGTAGCCACAGGTGAGAAGTTATTTCACACGGGCAAAATAACTGCTTGGTAGAGGTGGGAAATTGCTTCCTTTACACCTAGCCAAACAATTTAGCATCCCTCCTCTTCAGAAGGCTAAATGCAAACATTTTAATGGATTTTAAAACAAGGCTGCATATCATTCAACTCTTGAACTATACAAGAAATTCCAAGTATTCCAACACTGATGTTCAGATTATTTTCCTACAGGAGAGAATACATTTGGCTCAGGGTTGAACAATAGTCCTTGGTGCTCTGAGTTTGGGTTACAGATATTTCATTACCCAACTATGTAACATCATGAGTACTACTGAATGTGGGAATTGCTGTAGTTTACTGTTGGTAAGGGTGTGGTTTCATTTTACTAGTTCCTTGGTTAGAGTATAAAAACAGAGCAAACCCTACACTCACTAGGATTCATGTTGTTACATAGTTGGGTAATAAATGCCTGCAGGCAAACAATGAAGCTCAAATACACTGCACATCATTTTGAACCAACATATGGCAAGAGAACACATTCTATCTTAAATAATATTTTCCTGACAGCTCAGCAGGGATGACTTTATGCCAGCTTTCCTTATTTAATCCATTGACTGCCAAGTGAATTTGAGTTTCACATCCTAAATCCACCTACTAAAATCCAACACAGCTGGAGGGCCCTCAGGGTGGAGGCACTCTGCAATTAGAGCATGTCTGATGCTCATATAAAATATACACTTTTTTCATATAAAAGCCACTACTACCTCCACTTTTTAAAAAAATAACAAGACAAGGGTACAGGTACAGTGGTAGGAATCATACTGCGTGAGAGGTTGTGAAACACTCTTCCATCCCAAAATAACGAGTGCAGTAGTAGCAAATAATGATGGATACACACACACATATTAATTGGTACTACTGCAATTGCTATTTGCTACTACCACAATTGTTATACATACATATACATATATACACACGTACACACACACACACATATATATATATATGCATACACACATACTTATCTATCTATATCTATTTATATCTTTATCATCTATCTATCTATCTATCTATCTATCTATCTATCTATCTTATCTATCAATCTATCTATCTATCTATGCATACACACACCACACATATATACATACATGTATGCAAACCACACACCCTGAAGCCCAGCTCAACTATTCCTGAATTAACTGCCCGGTCGCACCCATGCAGCTTTTTCCGCTACTGCCTTTGTGCCCATTCATTTTAGATTATATTTATTCTACTTATATTAGGTGAAGAAAGGGGAACCTTCCAGACAGGGTGTCTCCCATTCCACGCCCCAATCCAGGCGATGCTAAAACCATTTAATATTAACCATCACCGTTGGGAGAGCAATGAGGGGTTCGTGGGTCAGAACGACGGACTAGGAAGAAGGCTGAAAATGGGGAGGATAACACCAAAAGTCAAATATTGTTGCAGGAGCAACAATATTTGACCTCCGCCCCCCTCCCCTCCTCTCCCCCCAATTCACCCACTCTGTGTATCCGTGAGGGAAATCATGATGTCGGTAAGAGCCGCCGCGCCAGCCGGACAAAGAACTGAAGAGAAGGAGCCGCAGCCGCCTCAGCAGCCTGTCCGCCACGTCCTCCGGAAACACGCAGCCCCCTCAGACTACCCGGCTTTCGGCTGCCGACCCGCCTCCGCCTGCCGCCGAGGCGCCCGCTGCTGCCGCCGCGATCCAAAACGCCATCCCATTGGGGCGAGAGAGGCCAGCCAATCAGCGCCGGCTTTATTCCGCTTCCTTCCTCCGGCTGTCGAGGTGGGAAGGGGCGGAGCTTTCGGCTGCGCTGAGGTGGCCGAGGGTATAAAACGCGCGAGGATCCGGAGGGGAGAGCGCGCGCCGCGGCGGATTGGCTGAGGCAGGCCCGGAAAGGGCGGGAGGGAGAAAGAAAGAAAAAGAACATGGAGGGGCGGGGCCAGGACGCCGGCTGGGGGGGTTTCTTGAGCGCGGCGTGAGGGGAGAAAGGCAGTACGAGAGGTTCGTCTCCTCATTTGGGGGAAGGGGAAGGGATGGGCGGCAGGTCGAGGGCTGCTCCGGGAGGGACCCAGAGGTGCTTCCCCCCCCCTTCAAGAGGCAACTGGACTTTCGTTTTTTTTCCCCTTTGAGGACGTTTCGCTTCTCATCCAAGAAGCTTCTTCAGCTCTGACAGGATAGTGAGGAATGGAAGGGTTTATATTCCTTGCATCCTTTTAGAGCGTCATTGAAGCACTTGGAGGCTTATCTGTGTCCTCAGGGTCACATCTGAGTAGTGGAAATGGTTCCTGTAGTCTGCCATTTTTCCCTCAGGAAATCCATTCCTATCCCCACAGCATTCAAAGGTTGTTCAGCCCAAATTGTATAGTTAAAAGTCTGTAGAGATTCTCAATCATGCAGATCCTCAATCATGCAGGTTATCAGTCCTCCAGGTCGTGGTTGTCCCCAAGGTGCTTTTTTTGTCTGGAGGGCAACTGGACTTTCTTGGTTTTACTTTGAAGATGTTTCACTTCTCATCCAAGAAGCTTCTTCAGCTCCGACAGGATGGTGGGGAAGGGAAGGATTTATACTCTTTGCAGGCAGCTGGGTCATTTGCATCCTTTTAGAGCAGTGCTTCTCAACCTTGGCCCACCTGAAGATGCGTGGACTTGTGTGTGTTTGTATGTGTATGTGTATGTATATACGTATACACACACACACACACTATATATA